TTATGTGGACCACTCCCCATACCTTTACTGCTTATTATCTTCACTAAATTGCCATTTCTTGTTTCGAGGGATTTTGTCTTCCTCCAGTCACCATTTTGCACTCCACTGTTTATCTGCGAGTGTTAAGTACTCCATTCTTTTTCTTTGCAGGGTTTCTTTCTGGCATATTTGGTTCCCACTCTGTGGCGAGTGGTGCCTGACCAGATATACTTAGTCTTAAGTCTGCACTGTATGACCTGTGCTCATATAACATATCTAATGATCTGTGGTGTTGAGGCTCTTTCTACTTCAGACATAATGTACAATTTCAGGTGCCACCAGGAGTTGATTGATTGACTATGTCGACATTATCTCTCTGATTTTCAAAATACAATGTCGTAACACAACCAGGTCATTTTCCGCTCACTGTGGAGATGGGGTGTTCAGCATGACTGCTAGTAGGTATACCTAGTGTTATTTTGCTTCATAAATAGGGATAGCTGTCCATCTCTGATTCCTGGCATTTCAGGTTCTTCCTACCGAAGACATGATGTACGATTCCAGGCACTGCCAGGTGATGGTTGATTGACCCTGTCAACATGATTCCTCTGGTTTTTGAAAATAGGGTATCTCGATCATCCATTGCACTGTCTCTAATGCTACAGTCCTCTGGATTCTCCAACATACTTTTTCCCTCCTTCTAGTGGAGTATGGGAGTTCTTGCTACTTACCAGTTCCTAGTCACTGGAGTGGTAGACAATGGAGACCTGTTTCCTATGTGTGCCCAATCCCACTCATTTGAGAGTAGGCTGGTGCTATTCTGCCAGTGTAGATGCCTTGACGCCCTTTCTACTGCAGACCTCATGTTCAATTCCAGATGCTGCCAGGTATTGGATGTAGCACTGTCATATATTGCAGTTTGCTCCTCTGACCGAGGCACTCTCCTTCCTACTGGATGCCAATTCCCAATGGATCTGGTGTTGGTTGGAGCCAGACCACCCATGTAAGTCTACATGTGTTTGGATGGTTATCCTCTTCCTACCACGGACTGGATGATAAATTCCCAATGCCCAATGATTATAAAATTGATGATGCTATTATTTGTGGCACATTTATTATTATATATTTATTTTAATATTAATGTTTGTTTAGATTAAGTTTATATTTAGAAATATGCATAGCTTATAGTGTTAAATATGTATTGCAAAACTCCCGCCTATCCTCTAAAGTTGAAGAAGATTCTAGAGTGTAAGAATCAACAATATACGTGTGTACGTAAATGATTGTGTTAGCATCAGTATTGTTACATAATCTACATTTTCGAGAAACTCTCCACACGGCTATAAATATAACCAATGCACAAAAAAAACAACAGTATCTATTATTGGGTTGCTGTAATTGTTGTGCTATAAACTTCGTAAGCTATAACTGTGATAAACACTTATTAATCTGGAACTTCAGATATATTGACCAGTAATGTTTATAAATTTCGAACATTACAAATCATTAAACTTCAGTGGATTCACGTCAGACATTAGTACTTTTACGAAAACATTACCTAACGTCATCGATGTAAACTCGGCCTGTAATCAGCACGTGATCATCGAGAACTACAGGGTTAGCTAGCTCCCTGTTAAGTTGATTATACCTACATCAACTCGAAATTAGGTCACTCATTTTGAACCCTCGATAATATATCAAAGAAATTCCAGACTAGATAGAAGACTTTATATTTCTTTTAAGTTTGTAAAACATGTGTGTATAAATCAATACTTGTGATAACCATTTGTAATAACTGTTATTGTAAATTGTATTTGTTTTTGTATTAAAACATCTGTATAAAATAAAGAAAATTTTATATATTAATCTTTTTGGCAAATATCATAAACTGGATATATATTGGAAAATATTTAACTAATAAATCTAAATTACAATTTAACTCAGTTTCAGACCATATGAAATTGTAATATGTAACATATTAGATAGCAGTTTCAGGGTAATGTCCATTTATATTGTACATGTTTAAGCTGTCTTTTCTTTACAGAGTCGCATATGAATCAAAACACTGATTTAATTATTTCCTTTCTTTCTTTTATTTTTTAGTGTTTTTTTTTATTGCTATCTCTAAAAGTTATAAAGTTTTAGATTATATTGTATTTGACTATCACTTTAGTAGAGGTTCTAAATATCTCTCTTTTGCTTTGTTATAAGCATGTTTTGTTTTCACATTTATTTTATACTTGGATAATTTTCTTCCACATACCAGCTCCCCAGTGGCTTGGTGGTATATCTGCAGACATATAATGCTAAAAAACAGGTTGTGATACTCATGGTGGGCATAGCTCAGATAGCCCATTTTGTAGCTTTGTGTTTAACTACAAACAAATCCACATATCATCATGATCACCCTTCAGTGGCTCAGTGATAAATCTGAAAGCTTTTAACACTAGAAATTGGGTTACAATACTCGAGGTGGGAACAGCATTGACTGCCCATTGTGTGGCTTTTTGCTTAACAACAAATAGATAATCAAGTGCCATATTTGAGTGGAAGATTGGGAATCAAACATGACTTTCCACTCTTATTTACCTTCAACCTTTCTCTTCATCTTCTCATAATTAGGTAAATGAAACTACTTCAGCTGTTTATTTAAAGAGTTAGCAATTGATACTTTTTCCATTGTTGAAGGAGGATGTAACTTTTTTGTTTAGTTTGAAACTAATGATTTGTTAAAATATTGAAATGAAATCATATGTGTTGTTTATATACACACACACACACACGTAAGTCTTCCTTTTAAAAGAACTAAGTATGATTTTTCATTTATAAGATTTTGCTTTTGTATGTTACACTGTATAGCAATTTAACACATTTATTTATCTATAAGCAGGATAATAGTTTTTCCAAGGATAGATTGTATTTATCAAAGTGCTTGCACCAAACATATAAATTCAAAGTGAATGTTTCAAATTCCATAAATTTAAATAAATTGTACTTTTATTGCAAAATTACTGCAAATTGTGGAGAATATAATGATATGATAGGAAACTAGAAGTTACTCAAATTTACAATAACATGTACTTTTAGAAGATTAGTTTGAAACTTTCTTATTTAGTGGGCTTGTAATATCATTGGTACATTTGCAAATTATGAGGTGTAGGGTAACAGTAAATTGAATTATTAACAAGGTACTTATGTGCAAGTTATTTTGTAAAATTGTGTTTTGTTTTTTATTTTCAAATTTTATATGTTGAAGCTATTTTCAAATCTTCTGTTTTACAGGCTACATTTGACCCTGAAATTTTCTTCAATATCATACTTCCACCAATAATTTTTAATGCTGGATACAGCTTAAAACGGGTAAGAATTTACATATATATATATATATATATCGAAGTTGTGAACTTATTGTCATAACGGATAATGTCTGTGGTAATAGCACCCAAATACGTTGCAATATCCCATCTATCAGACAAAATCCAAATGCCGATGTCAATATAATTAGCCATCATGGAAAAATCATAAATTAAATAAGGATACGGAGCTGAGTGCTTACACCCACAATGTCTCGGCTTCTACTGCCTTTCACTGTCTATACCCAGTTGTGGGAAGGCAGTTACCCTTAAATTTCTTAAAGTAAAATGAAGCCACCCTAATATTTCTACAAATAAAATTCCCAACCTCCACCCTTACAAAAGATATTAAATAGAACTATAAAAAGATCTAATTAAATTTAGGTTAAAATGGAATCATATACCTATACTCCCTTACGTAAAGGAAGAGAAATCTTGTATAGTAATTGATTTTAAACAAAGTTTATGATAATTTATATTTACCTTCCCTGGTCCATAAAAGTATTCAAGAAGTTATTGTTCCCATAAAATCATTTTAAATATGATAAACCTATAGGACCTCTTCTCTTTAACTATAAAACATTACTTGAAGAATTTAATCAAATAGAAGTTGACAACTTATCTTGTAACTGTAATAATAGTGTTGTCAAAGATAAAAAATTACAGTCAATATTAAAGAAAGGTACTAAATATAGAATTTTAAAACACACACAAAAATGTGAAATCTTAAAAGAAAAAACTTTATGATAATATTGTTAAAATAATTAAACAATCCCATTGTCTGCTAGGTTTCTTATTTGAATGGAAATTATTTTATTAGTTCCATAAAGAATCAATTAACTCTTTCAATCTTGGCTCAGTCCCTCGAACCAACCTCTTAACCATTTTGTGCTTGTTATAGTTTTCATGCTATAACTTTTAAATTAGTTGGTGAATATTAATAAAATTTTGCAGTTTATCAGTAAACATTACAATGCTTTCATATGCAAAAACTAATTTTTTATTAAGTGTTAAGGTTTGTAAAGCAATGTTTCTCTCATGCCTTTTTTCTTTTCACATCTTGCCAATCTAACATGTAAAGTAATTTTCATTTTAATGGTAATTGATATTTAATTCGTTATTGTTTTATAGTGCTCATTTAATTGCCTACTAACAATTAATGTAATAAATAGTTTGTGAGCTATTTGTTTTTATATATTCTTAGCCCCTTTGTTTCCTTTTCTGAAATCAAAACTAGTAAATCTTTTTTCTTTTGCATATGTGATGTGTATTTAATGTAAAAATGAATTATTTACGATTTTCATTATCAAAACCCTCTATTTAAATGGAAAGTTGGCACTTGATCCTCACTTCCCACTTTTTCTCTGCTTTCAGCCTTTCCCTTCATGTTCTTATTTCTTATCTCAATTTCAGTTCATTATTCCTGGTTTCAATAATAAGAAATTTGTCACTAGATCATTTTAACATATGCCCAATGAATGTCATTTACCTCTTGGCAATAGTTTGAAACCAAGTCAACCATTTTTATAACCTGTTTATCATCAGTTATTAGATTTTTTGAAATATATATCTCTTGAATATGTTAGATTAACATACATGTTAGTTTCTGATATTTAAGGTAAAAGTGATTTTGATCTTGTTAATGTTTCATTAAACAATCACAGTTTTCTTAATATGAGAAAAACATCTGTTTATTGTTTAGGACATTTTACAGAAACTTAGCCTGTAAAACGATCATAGAATGTGTACCAAACTATCATTATTCAACTTGTATGAATGTATTTTTCCTTTCATACTCAGCGTCACTTCTTCAGAAATTTGGGAGCCATTATGACATATGCATTTATTGGAACAACCATTTCTTGTTTTGTTGTAGGGTATGTATCAGTTTTAAATTATTTTTGCTCTGATCTGTAATAGGCTTCTTACTTGTCTCACTGGTAGAAAATGGAAAATGTACCATATTTTTAATTTGTAATATAGGCTTCTCCTGGGTTTCTACCACCTTAGCTAGTAGATACATCTTTCAAAATTTCGATGTATTTCAGGTTTTGTTCTTAAAATAGAACATCAGTAAAGGAAACTAAGTTTGCCATCTTGATTTTTCACGAGACTGGGCAAATTGTGAAGGAAGTCATAGTTGTTAGTTCTCTGTGAGGAGAGATCACTATAGCATGAAAAATGCTAAAGATAAAAACAGTGATCTGCTCTGATAGCAAATCACGTGATAGCCCAAGGGTGTGACCTTGTTTACTTGAGAGTGACCCTCAGTTATGTGGATAGCGGTGCAACTGGAGAGAGAACCTTATATATTTTCCAAAACAATATACTTACCTCTTCACACAGTAGCTATTCCTCACACATCTGCCTTTCAGATTTTTAGCATGCCACTAACCTCGAACTATTTCCTACTTAAGATACCTGTTATAATGTGAACTGCACTACTGCATGATGTAGTCATCATGTCACAATAGCCCTCCACCAATAGGAGGACAACACATCCTGCATGTGCAGTAGATTCCCATAAGCATTTGCACTCAAAAATAACTTCATTCTTATCTTTGGCACTATTTGTAATAGATGTGTTTCTTTGAGTTTAAAATTAATACATTTTTTGAGATTTGTGCTGCTTTTTCATAGTTAACTTTCTTTGGTTTCCTTTCATTTTGTTTTAACTTTGATTTAAAGTTACATTGCCATTGAATAACTAAAAAAAATACTTGATTTGGAGAATTTCTACAAACACCATGAATTCAAAGTGACATTGACTACTACCTCCTCCATGGTTCTGGTGATGTTGCTAACACTGCACCTACTTTGTTTGTGACCACTGGTGGCTTGGTGACTGTGAAAGATGTTACCACCATAGTTCACTGTGTAATGGGTTCTTTGATACTTTCCTTGCCTCATCTTCCTGTTCCTATGTTTAAAGTACCTTCTCCTCTTCTAAACATGACCATGAGGATGATGACACTGAATGGCTCTTTCCACCTCCTGGGTTTACACTAAGCTCTTCTTTTCCTGTTGAGGACAATGTTCCTCCTCCAAAATTTCTTTGTAGATTTGATTATTCAGGTTTGGTTTTTATTTTTTCTTTCTATTATGTATTTTGATTCTTCCTGTTCATTACTACATGACTCATGTTGATGCATTCCTGAATTAGTTTCATTCTCATTCTCAAATGCTTCATCTTTCTTGAATCCAGGATTCCTTTACCATGGTTTTAGGCTGTTCCCCTTTTTCATTCTTGGAGTCCCTTCTAACAGTTTGAAGGGCTGACTCCATGTCTCCAGGAGTATTCTTTAGTGCTTAATTTTCCTGTCTTTGCCTTTAATTACTCATCGCTTTCATTATCTATCGTCTTCCTCTTTTCATTTCCTATCTAATAATTTTTCTGGAGGTCTACAATTGGTCTTTTTCAGTATCTTGACCAATATTCCTCCTTGTCCCTGCTTACTTGGTTCGTTCTTCTATTTTTGAGGATCTGTCTTGGTGGCTGGATTGTGCCAATACTGTGGTCAGCATCCCAGTACCACCATCCCTATCAAGATTTCTTTCTCTTCACCAACATATCATATGGATTGGGGCACATCTCTGGATGATTCCATGGCCTATGGTGTTTGGTTTCTAGTGGAATGTACCTTCCATATCAATGTTCTGGAACCCTTTGGGTCTGTTCCTACATCTTACCTCATCTTGTGGATCCACTCCAATTAAATGGTCATTTCTCATATCAGTCTTTAGGGTGGGACTCACTCCAGAGACCTTTTCTTCCATCAGTTGGACTATCTGTTTTGGGCCCATTCACTTTAGGTTCATCTGTCTGTCATGTACTGGGGACTTTGAACTTGGTGGTGGATTGACTCTCTTGACCAGACAGGATACTTCCTACAGAATTTTCACTCCATCCTCAGGTATTTCATTGGATTTGTTTCCAGTTGGGTATGCCAATTATTGCCACTCTTCTCAATAACAAACTCTCTTTTTTATTGCTGATACCTCACCCAACAGCTCTAGCTGTTGATGCCTTCATTGTCTCTTTAATATATTTTTGCTCTCTTCTTCACATTCTCTCATGTGTCTGGCCATTGATTTGTGACACTCCTTCATAGGTCCTTTTGGTAGCACCTTTATTTTTTATTTTTTTTTTTGGCTGGCTCAGTCTGGCATCCAGGGCACATCTTGGTCACTATTACTCCAACCTTGTACATTTCACTCTCTCACCCAGGAGTGTCATTCTTGCTTGCTAGCCAGATTTTTCTGATAGCCATTCTTTTAGTCTCTTGTTGTCATTCTATTCTTTCTGTCTTTTAATCAATGTGGCATGTTTTTGTTGCTGGTACATCTGCCACTCTATCACAAAGCCATCCTACTGTTGCACTTTGTTTTACAGATCTTCCTTGATTTTATTCCCTGACCACTAATATCTTCTTAAGACTTGGGTGACTTGGGAGGGAGTTGTATCTTTCTTATTGTATCTCTTATATTAATCTTGACTCTCTATAATTGTATTGATCCCGTTTGCCTTTTGTGTATAGTTTGAGCAGTCATGTTACTGGGTGCACATGGCTCCATTTCATGGTTCCCACCATCATTTATTCTTTCCACAAGACCCCTTTTCTTCCAGGAGCCTCTCCTCCTCTGTGTTTAACAGATGGATTTGTCAACTCATCTAGATCATTTACTCTTCCCTGGATGGAGGTACTCACAGGCTGTTTCACATCTCATCACCTCAAATTTACCACTTGACTGACTCTCTGTCCTTGCAATTATGATGACCCTTGAATGAGATCCTCCAGGCTGGAATATGGACTTCTGCCAACATCTTTGTCTCCCTTAGGATATTGCTTCTCTCCAATCTATTCACCATCTTTAATGGATAGTGTTTTTTATTTCCTTGCATGTTTATACTGTACTCCCATTCAATTTTCAGAACCCACCCAGTGGCTAGTGATGCCTCACAGGGTATACTTACTTCCCTTCTCTAAATCTGCATTATGTCAGGAGTAAAGGAAAGTGTTAAACCCATCCACCTTGGCTCTTAAAGTGCCCGTGCCCACTGTTGAGATGGGGTTTTCCAGTTGCACTTTCTTTGGTAAAAAAACTTTTTATTGGTTATGTCTTCCCAGTGTGAAAACTATCCCCCTGATTTTCAAGTGGAGCACAGAAGACCCTTGCCACTCTTAGTTGCTAGCTACTGGGGGGTGGTCAACTTGGAGAGTCCCTCACTATTTGTGTTATCCTTCTGGAAAGAGTCTGAGTAGTCACACAGAACAGTGGGAAGTAGGGCAAAGGTAACCATGTCAGTGTTGTGCAGATCACCCCTTATTGCATAATATGTCAATTTCTTAGTGGTTAGGCAAACTAGATTTGGCAAAGTGTTCTCCTTACGCAACAGGAAGGGTACTCATTCCTGTATGTAAGGTGAATAAATTGTACAACAGAACACATACTGAACCATACGGTCTGATTCTTCCTCTGGCCACAACACTACACCTCATGTCCAACTGACCTGTTGTGTGCATGTCTTTTTCCATCCATCCCTGCAACACATTGGCTCATTTTGCTTTCCTCCTTTCACGCTTCTGTTTGGGTTAAGAGTGTACCCTGCATGAGATGGATGTGGCCTCAAATGAGTGTTACCCCTCTATTATGCCCCTTCTGAAGGGTTTTCTCTCCCTGGACTTTCCCCTTCAGTCACCTTCTCTGAAAAGAACTCCCCTTCATTTTCACAATTGCAGACCCCTCCACCACATCAATGTGGGATTCTAGCTACTTTATGTAGAAAAGTAAGTTTATAATTTCTGAAGTTAAAATTTTTCTTATCTCTTTGCAAATCTTCCCACTACTTGTGCACATGAAAGATGTATTACTCTCCTATTGGTAGAAGGCTATTGTTACATGATAATTACATCATAGACTAGTGCATTTCACCTTATAACATGTGCCTTAGATGGAAGATAGCTCAAGGCTAGTGGCATGTGCAAAATCCCAAAGGCAGTTGTGGAAGGAATAGTTACTGTGTGAAGAGAGGTAAATATTTATCACATATACATAAGGAAAATGTTAATATGTCTTCTTTGTATAAGATATAGATTGCAGTCTATGTGCTTACTGAAGTTATACTGTACTTTTTTGCTAGACTTCAAGTATACAGACTTTACTGTAGATTGCATTTTGAGACTGTATTGTGACAGATTGCCTTATCACAGGTTTTAGCCTTGGAAATTTTTCCATGCACTTTTGTGAGCTAGAATTACACTGGTGAAAGAACATGGATAGGTAAAGCTCTCTTTCTTTCTCTCCAATGAAACACACAAGTGTGATCCTTGACCTTGTTTTACTAAAGACAGTGATTATTTCAAAATTATAATTAAAAACTTTTTCAGTTGACAAGTTTAGATTTTAATGATTACAAAGTTTTGACCTATTGCATTGGGTTATCATCAGATAAAAAAGTTACTAAACTTTTGCCAAGTCATTCTTTTCTGTAAAAACTTAGTTAAAGGCAGAGAAAATATTGCATGGCTCAGTAAAATAGTATCCAACAAATATTCTTGTTTTTACAGTTCCTGCAGGCTACTCTGAGGGAATTTAAGGGAATCTGAGAATGTCACATACACATTTTTACATGATAAATTTCACGGGAATTTGATTGGTTAATTGGTAGATTTAATTGACTAAAATTATTATTTCTTGGTGCCTTCTTGAGGTAAGGTAAGAAATTAATTATTTTATTTGCTATGGTGTTTCAAACTGACATTTTTTTCATTAATTTCACTGTTATGAAATTTGGAAGCCTATGATGTTTAATACACACACAGAAGGAAAAAGCTATTGACAATTGATGTTGTCATGTTGGAAAAATCATTCTTAACAAATATTTTTTAGAAGAAGGGATACCAGTGTAAAGTATATTTATGTCACACCTTGAATTAATTTTACTGTTTGGTTCATGTGCTGATAAACGTAGAAAGTAATATTGACAAGTAACTAATATGTGTATGGCATGAACATGAGGCACAAGTATTCAAATTTCAAGGGAAAAAAACATTTACAAGTTGCTGATTATATTATAACTTGCAAAAGGCATGTTCTTATTTTGCATTATTACATCTGTGGAATATACTTATCAGTAAATTAAACAAAGAAAATGTTTCCTCATAAATTTATGCTATAGTTTTTGAGGTGAAGTTTAGTTTGTGAGGCATTTTTTGTTTCCAGTTTTTCAATTAGATATATATTTTCTTGTTAACAGAAAAAAAAAAAGTTTTCATTTTAAGCTATTTATTTGCATGTATTGTAGGAATGGTAATGGGGTATGGACTTTACAAAATATTTTTAATTCATTAAATCCCAAAGTTAATAGTAAATATGTATAAAGCACATTCCATATCATTTAATTATGGATCTTTGTCAATTAGAAAATAAAATAAGGGATTTTTAGTGGTTGGGTGATTCTTATGCTAGCCCATGTGAAATCTGGGACCAGTTAAACTTGAAAAACACTAAACAAGGCCCACAATTTTCCTCGTATCTTCATTATTTAAAGACTAGCTGTCATAATATGCAAATAATTAATTTTTTTCATTTAAAAAAAAACAAACAAATCAGTGATATAATTGCTACTATGTTATTTACTCTTGGAAATGGCATAAATACATAATTGCATGCAGCTTATTACATCAGCCTCATAGGCATTAAATCTTGGTTATGCACAAAGAGTACATTTAAGCATCAGTGAATTATCTAATATCTTTGTATGCTAATAAGATAAGACTATTTTATCATTATTTGAAAACAAACAAAAATATAGTTGGATGAACTATTTACTGAGCATGCCTGATTTCACATATTGGTAGGTTTGCCTTGTTCTCCTTGTTAACATGGACAATTAGTTCAGAAATGGAAAATTTAAATAGTGTAAGAGTGATTAATAAGTGCAGCCAGCTGAAAGATTATATATATATATGAATGGCCACAGTCTGGTGTACAGAAAGCATGATGAAGTGACCACAAACCCCTGAAGGATTTTGTTGAACATAATAGGGGAGGATCACTAAAATGCTTAAAATTATTTTTCAAATGATATGCAGTTATATTATTGTAAAATGTGATTGTTCTAATGTATTTATAGTGAATAGTTCTTTTCTATTATTATTTTGTACAATGTAAGGGGTATTAGTAGTATTTTTCTGATTCATTGGTTTTATGTATTCAAATGCCCACAAAGTTGTGTTGCACTGACAATGAAACATCCATTTTCTTGTTATTGATACATACTAAATCCTTTAGAGCTTAAGCTTTAATAAGACTTTCCTGGTTGATAAAAATCTAACTTCAAAAGTATTTTAGATAAATGGATTTATTTAAGCTTTGTGATAATTCTTTAATTTAGACTTTCAAATTTAAGAGCTTATATAACCTGATTATTAAATCTAGCTAATTTCTTGCTTTATATATAAGCAGAATCTACAGTTTTTGGCACGTGCACATTATTAAGACATGCTCCTGATTATGTGCCATATGGCAAGCTGAAAAACTAAGTGAACTGATCTGTCTATTTTTTTATTTTACTGCATAATAACTCATAACTTTAAGTTTTAAAACTTATTAGATTCAGTGCACACAGGTTCAGTGAACCTATTTTAAGATTTTTTTTTTGTATATATGTATGTATCTTCATTGTTGGCAATATAGTTTCTAAATGTTGTACAAGTTGGTTTATCTCTTTTAATGTGTGTGCTCATAGTAATATATATTCTCCTATCTGCTTTTTTTTTTTTTTTTTTTTTTTGTAAACAGTTTTTATTCTCTTCCAGAATTGTTATCTATGCTTTTATCCAACTTATGCCACACTTACAATTCAGCTTTACTGATTGTTTATATTTTGGTGCCATAATTTCAGCCACTGATCCAGGTTAGTACAACGATTTCTGTTTTTTTTACCTTTGCAGCAAGTTAAGTTTAAAAGTTTTAGGCCAGAAGTAAACACATTAACAGCTGAAATTCTTGCCATTATCTATGGCAGATAGTTTTTAGTGCAATATCATTGTGTTTTAAATTTAAACAATAGTAATGATAACAAATCTAAAACATGTAATCTTTATATTTTTGTACTTGTGACACACATGCGAATAAATGCTCACATGCATCCTTAACAGTAAATGTATTAACAGAATTATACATCTTTATGGAGCATATCACTCTTATTTTTTAAAAATTAAATAAGTTTATTGTTTGTTTTAGTAGACATTTAAAATTGGTGTTATTTTATGTAATTTTATATAAAAAAACATGGTGAAAGAGTTGGGGTTTCATATAGAAATTTAATATTACAATTAGTCTTAGGTAATATAATATTCAAAATAACCTATAATATAACATTAAAGTTGTGTATTAGTAAAAAAGAACTGTAAAACAAAAAGCACAGTAATCATGTAACTCGTAATTCAGGTTAACTGAATAAAATAATCATTAATTGTTAAATTGTGTTAAAATAATTAAATTTAGTAATATTGTAACACCCCCATTCATTCAATTTTAGTGTTTTTTAAACATATATATATTAATTTATTCAGTTATTTCAATATATTTTACTCACCTCTGAAAAATTAATTCATTGCTATTTTCTTTTTCGAAATTCACGAAATCTCTTTACAGCTCATAAGTTACATGACATTAGCTCAGCAATCTTTTTGTATTAAAATGTTAATAAAAATGAATTGTGTATTGTGATATATATCAATTCCTTTTAAATTAAACCAGTAAAGTTCTGATAACATTACAAATGCTAATTCTAATTCCATGTTGCATTGAAATTAGATCTCTTTCACACAGCTTCTGTGTGTGGAAGTTTTGTTTAAATATTTACTTATTAGATTTTGATTGGGTCAAAAAACAAGCTGCTATATACCATTTGCTTGTCAAAAAATAAAACCTGTGACTATGAGTTTTTTTTTCATGAACACTTGCATGGATTGATACATTTTTCTGGACCAGCAAAGTATGTAACACTTATTCTTGGAAAAAGTAGTTAGAAAATGATTTCACCTACCTAATTATTAACTTGAAATTTAGCATATTAACTGCATTCAACAAAATAAAATCATTCAGGAGCAAAACAGAAGTTGTTTATGAAACCTATAAAATAATTACATTATATTAAATGTATGTGTTGATATTGGTGTTTTGACAGTAACTGTGTTGGCTCTTCTGAGTGATCTCCATGTTGATGTAAATCTTTATGCTCTTGTGTTTGGTGAGAGCATACTGAATGATGCTGTTGCCATTGTGTTGTCAGGGTGAGTGGTAAACTTCTTTTAACAGTAAGAGAAACTTAATTCTATCAAAATACATTTCAAGTTCTGCTGCATAATATAAGTTAATCTATCTTTTTTTTTATTGTTAAGAAAGAATAATTCTTTTAATATTGATACATCTGTAAAATGTACTATTCATGTCACAGTATTTTCATAGAATACAACTCTTTTTCTTTACTTGAAATTTTATGTTTATTTCCCTACTACCAGGAACTTGTAATCATTACTGAATAATAAAATACTCTGTATGGTGCATGCAAATTTTTATGGCCCTGTTAAACATTCATTAGTATACACAAGTGTCATGTGTTAGAAGTATTTATTATACTTAAAACTTGCAGCTAAAGTATAATGAATTTTGAAAATATGATCAAATTGTTTGATGCCAACTCTCAGTAAGTTTTGAATCCGTGCATGTATGGTACATAAACAAACTTTGACCTTTCTTTCTGCTTATTTTAATATAACATTATTTTAAGTTTATCAGTTATTCTGAATATTTAAAGTTTGCACATAACATGTGGTCAAGAAAATCATTAAATTGATTGCGTTCTAGCTGCCTTTGTTCTTTTGCCATTATCTGGAGATAACACTTGTTCAGCTAATGGGAGGTACCATTGTAATGCTGCATGTTGTGTAAGAATGTAGACAGCAGTATACTTCAGTGGTAGGTCTGGTGATATCTCAAGGTTACAATCTTCTTTGTTCTTGAATGGAAATGACCAGTCATGTGAGTAATGCTAGTCACTGGATATATCTGATGTTACCTGTTAAGTAAGGAATGTTAGTTATAAAATCTTGTAGAAGTTTTCATTGAGTGCAGTTTGGAGAGAGAACAGTTCTGATCCAGTAAAAGCAACGGTCCATCATCTGAGCAAGTACACACTGTGTTTTTGTTTTCCATTGTAATAAAGATTCTGCTTTTGTCTTCTACATTGTGTTCACTCTTTTCATTTCATCCTAATGACCTGGGATGTTGAAAGAAATTCAGTATTACTATGTAAGAGATGTCTTGTGGAATCTGTTTGCTCTAGGAATGTATCAAGTATGATTTTATCTCTCACTCTGTTGCATTGGCATATTGTTTACTTGTGGACTTTTTAGTGTTTTTTTTAATTGGAATATACCTTTCTTCTTTTTTTTATTGTAATAAAACCTACCATTCTAAATCCTTCTTTGCAACAATAATTTTATATACTTATATGTACAGGAAAACAAGTAGTTCACTACAATGTAATAATTAAGTAATGAAACAAATGGTATAGTTTTTTTATGAATATTTTTATTATCTATATTCTTTTAATGGTTTTTTAGTTATTAGATTTGTTTAAATAGTAGGGTGAGAACTATGGAAATATAAATACTAAATTCCAGTAAAATAACTAAAACTATTTTCAATACACAATTCAAAATAATGTTTTCTTTAATGACCTAGTTTGTATATTTACTCACCCAATGTTTAGCATAATTGACTCTGAATCTGAAAAACCAAAAAGATTATTTCATGAAAATTAAATTATTAAATATTTTGGGACTTCTTGGAATGTAATATAGTAAGATAAAACTTTAACTAGTATGTAATTAGTTAATTTTAAGAGACATTATTTAGAATGACTTGCACTTTCTAACTAGTATTTGATTATAATTATTTGTATGAATCTTTAGTGTACAAGATTTAAAGTTTTTATTTTATCTGTTAAAGAGAGTAGTTCCAAATCTGTACAAATAATGATAGTAATAATAATAATACTGAAAGGAGGAGTGGTAAGATCAGTGACCAAAGGTCAGTATCAGAGTTAGTATTCAGTTAGCATCTCATTAAAATACATGTTAATGGGATTAACAAGAACAAAATGGTTGACATACTCATATCATGTAGAAAAAAAATAGTTAATGCATGTTAGACCATTAAAACTATAAGAGAATTTCATAAAGATTGACTCTCTTGGAGTATATTGATTTTTACAATATTATTTGTGACAAAAAAGGGGGGGGGATATATTGCTAAAACAAATAAAATCATGGTTTTCTCCTAATTTACCATGATACCAAATGTGCATATATACAATATATATTATTTGGCTTAGTGCTATATTGTCTCTGTAAAATGTATTTTTTCTTCTTGCTAATGAATCTAATTCATCTTCAAGACTTGTCTTTTTTAATGTGGCATTACTTTGATGTACTGGAACTTGCATCATACCAGTAAAAATGTTTTTCTTACACTTCAGTATTTTGAGTCTCTTTGGTACTACTCATGATGAGCAATAATTTTATTCTGATTTTTTGTTGAATTTACAAATTCTAAAATCTAGACAACTTTGGTATTTGTAATTAATACATCTGAAACATATGTTCAGATTTTTCTCTCATGCCTTGAAATTACTTAAATTTAGTTTTTAGTGAACCTTTTTGTTTTTTCCTTTCATTTGTTGATTATGATCAGGGAACAAAAACGGTGAAACAATGGCATTGACTGCCATTGTTAATTTTTGGATAATGTTTGTTTATTTGAAAAATGGTTATTATAATTGATTTACCCTTGTCCAATATTTTTTTTTTTTTAGTTCTTTGTGACAAACATTATTAATAATCACATTCATTATAAGAAATTAGTCATAATTCTTCTGTTATATACATATTTTCAGATCTAATTGTGTTTGTTTTATTGCTTGTCATTTAAGGCTCAATTATATTTTATTCTTGTTATATTTGTACAGGTAAAGATATGTATTTTGCAATCAGACTTGTGTAACTTTCTAATTATTGTTCAGGAACCATTGTCTTATCAAAGTTTTCACAATATTTTCCAAATTTTGGATTAATTCTTTATTTTCTTTAATCTTCTGCAAGTGTCATAATCAGTTTTATAACACTGATGTTTGTATTACTCACTTTTTGCCTAATTGCTTTGTAATAAATACTAATTAATCAAAATACAAATTAGTATTTTTTTAATGACTCTGGTTTACACATACCAAAGAAATATTTATTTGTACTTATAGATCAATTAACAGCTATGAAGAATTATATGGAACTCAGTCTGGAGGGTTTGAAGTTCAAGCTTGTTTCAAATCAGTGGGAAACTTTATTTACATCTTTATTTGTTCATTTTTGATTGGGTCGGTGACAGGCTGCTGTACAGCTTTGATATCCTTTTGGTGTTGTTAGCAAGAATGAAAACATGAAGTTTTATTTTTACATTAATTTCTTGTAATTATATTATACAGATATGTCCACACATAATCTTCATGTACATGTATTTAAATGTAGTGTATCATTATAATTAGAAATATATTTTTGTTATATAAGACATAATACATATACTTTTTCATATTAACGGGAAAAAGGTTAATATACTTGTTTTAAAAAAATTCATTTAATTCTTTGTCAGTATTTTAAGGAGTGAATTTTAATTGATAAAAAGCAAGCCTTTAAATGTTTAATAATTGTTTCTCAGAGGTGATCTTGTGGGAAGATACAGGCTTTTATACTTGATTTTAATTTGAGATAGAGACACATATTAGGATGTATATTTCTTCATAATAAAAATATTTGTCTATTTGTCATTTATTTATTACAAAGAAATAAGATAAGAAAACAAACTTCTATAAATTTTATTTCTAAAAGTATCTTTGTACCAGTTTCATTGTTTTAGAGCTACTCTTCAACTCTATTTAAAAGATAGATAAAAAATTATTATTACCTGTATGTAATTATTCCATATAAGAAAAAGTATAAAGCTGTGCAAGAGTGTGATCAGTAATTAACACTTGTTTTGTTTCTCTCAAGTGAAGTATCCTCCTAAATTGAGTTTTAAGTCCAAATACATGAACCCTGTATTGAAATAACACCATAAGTGATTATCAGTTTAGGGAGATTAAAGATTTAACCTTTTATGACATATCTTTATTTAATTTGTAATAATTGAAATTGAAGAGTAGTCTTACGATACTGGAAAAGCAGTTTTTTTAGTTCAGATATTAGTTCTCCAATCTTAAACTTTAGTTCACTTCAATTTAGAGAAAACAAACAGTTTCATATTTTGAAACTTCAAATATCAAAGTTTAATTAGTAAACATATGAATTTTATCGATGTTAAACTTAACACTGTATTTACCTTACAAAGTTTACCCGTCTGAATGATTTTCCATTATTGGAATCATCCCTCTTTCTACTGATGTCCTATAGTACATTCCTCATATCTGAAGCTGCTGATTTGTCTGGTTAGTTTCAATGATCTTTCAAGTCTGTATTTTATGTTTTTCAAACCTATACTGGATTTTTATAATGTGATTTTAATTTTATTTCATATGAATACATTTTAAAAACATTATATTAATTAAATTCGATGATGAGGAACCCACTTTGAAACTAATAATGCTTGGAGACGGCTTGAATTGGTAATGAAGAAAAACTTCAATATAAGGTTAACGTAACAGTGTCAGTGTAAACTGCTTGTACCTGATGATGACCAAACCTTGTTGAAAACATTGTACATTTGCTGTTATGTTACACTTATATTAAAGTTTTCCTTCATCACCCATTCAAGCCATTTCCAAGCATTATTATATTAATAAAATTTGATGATGAGGAACCCATTTTGAAACTAATAATGCTTGTAGATGGCTTGAACTGGTAATGAAGAAAAACTTCAATATAAGGTTAATATAACAGTGTCAGTGTAAACTACTTGTACCTGGTGATGACAAAACCTTGTCAAAAACGTTGTACATTTGCTGTTATGTTACACTTATATTAAAGTTTTTCTTCATTACCCATTCAAGCCATCTCCAAGCATTATCATATTAATTATATTTACTGTAATACATTAAATACTTTCATAGGATATTAATTATTTTTCCATTTCTTCCTATTAACTCTTAAGTTTATGGAAGTATAACCAAGAAGTATTAAATAATAAGTATTATTGGTTGAGAAATTGCAAAGCTATATGTAGAAAGTGGGCGTGGCATCTATCAAGAGTTAAGAAAAATATATTTCACTTATCTTTCAACGTGCCCTAAGAGTATGAAAGCAGAATGCTTAAACAGAGCAATTAACCTAGTTTCTCAATACATGGAAGGTTAGTGTACATAAAGAAGTTTCAAGCTACAAAAATACAAGTTTAAGGTTTTGTGAACTTGTATATCATGTGAGAATAAAACTGAACTTTATAAATTTTTCTTTGAGGTTTTTTTTGAAATAAAGAAATTAAAACTTAGATAATATAAAACTTTGAACTACAATGTAAATTGTAATGTCGATTTCATTGGCAAACATTGATCATAAAATAGCTTAATTCTATGTAAAATCTTGTGACATGCACAGAAAAGGGTGCCTGTAAGAAAGGATTTGAGAAGTTTCAATTTAGTACATAAATGCTTCTGTGAAATAACACAGTAAGCATATTACAGCTGTGCCTTAAAAGTTACATAACCATTGTGAATCTCAGAATACAAAGAAAAATGGAATGAACTGTTTTCATTAAATATATGCAAGTATAGTATTTACCATAAATTATTTGAGGAAAGCATAACTAAAACAGGTAAATTCCTAAGCTTCAGTCATTATGAACATGTGTTATTAGAAAAAATATCTAACTCAATGATATTTTTGTGACTGAAAAGACTGGTTAATGTAATTTTTAAAATATAAAAAAAAAAAAATATATGAAAACTCAAAGTTGATAAAAAATTAAAACTTTTCAGCTAAATTCCAGTAGTATTTCATGTTTTGCCTCATGGTATTTCAGATTTTATTACTTGCTGATTTGAGACATTTAAAGATTAATATGTTTTAGGGATTGTTGCTGTTTTGTTCTGTGGAATATGTCAAGCTCATTATACATACAATAACTTATCTGATGAATCCAGGATTAGAACAAAGCAGGTGAGATAAGAATCTTTGCACTTGATATTTTGCATGACCACAATACAGTATTCAAATAAACATGTATGTAGGTTTATTAATATTTATTTTATGTTGTAGTAAGCTTTGTATTCATAAGAGACATTTTGAACAATTTTTCGGGATTTAAAAGGTTTCATGGAACAATGGACTAGATTTTCATTAATTTTAAGTGTTTTTTGGAAAGTTTGGATTGTATCAACCAACAGTGGAACTTGTTTCATGCTTGATTTCAAAACAAATTCTTCAACCTGAACTACAAAATCAGTGACATTGTATCATCATGAATTCTCAAAACAGCATCTTGCAACAAACTTTTGGACATTGTCAATTATATTTTCCTAATCCAGAAAGAGTTAACTTGTATCTTACTTTATCACTGCATCCCTTTTCAATTTTTCTACATGCCATGAATGCAGAATTCATTGTTTTTTTCGACCAAGAATGCATATGCCTGCATCAGTGCAAACACATGTATATGATTAGTCACTTTAGTTTGCATGGAATGCTCTGACTTAAAAACTTTTGGGGAAATTTCAAAGTTTCGTAGAAAATGTACTAGATTGCCATTAATTTGAAGTCTTTAAACCACAAACTGTTTTTTTTTTTTAAAGAATTTTGCTTGTTTTGGAATGTTTGCTCAAAGCTACACCAAAGTTAACTGTGTACAGACATTCCTAATAATCGGCAGATAGACTAGAGGAGACAAAGCTAGTTAATAGCACCCACTGTCAACCCTTGTGCTACACTTGTCTGACTGAATAGTGGGATTTGACTTTCACTCTTATATTGCACTCAAATGCACTAACTATTAGGATATGCAAAGAAATGTCAGCTGAAAGAGATATTTTAAAATCTTGCAGCCCTATGGTTTTATAATTTTTTGAAAATTCTTTATGAAAGCTAATATTAGAGAAGTTAGATGTAGAAAAATTAACATGGCTATAAAATTATTTTTAATGCATAATTTTTGGGGCCTTTTACTAAGTGAGAATATCCACACATTCCACATTTCATTTTGTTGATACTACTGTCACCTGAGGGAAATGTAGTGAAATAAAATAAACACTGGTGAATTCAGACAAAGCATACCTATAGTAACTAATATATTATAATGTACATTTAGGAAGTATATTTAATCACAGTATTCTATACATATCAAAGTGGCTAATCATGTAGAAGTGGTTGATGCAAATATATGCATTCTGGGCATAAAAGAAAATTATCCCTGGAATATAACTTGTTCTGCATTCACAACATATACAAAAATTGAAAAGCTTTGCAATAAAAAAAGTAAAATGCATCTAACTCTTTCTGGACTGGGTGGATGTCATTAAAATGTCCAAAATTTTGCTATGAGACTGTTTTGAAAATTTAAGTTGGTACACTGTTACTTATTTTATAATTCAATTTCAAGAATTTTTTAATTCAATCATGAAACAAATTTTACAACTGATACAATCCAGACTTCACTGCTCAGTATTTATTTTTATTCAAATCCAAATTGAAATTAAAAAATTAAGTATTAAGAAATGAAAATTATTTTAGGAAACTAGTTCTACAACTTAAATGAATTACATTTAATGCAAGTTTATTTTAAGTTATTAACTAAAGTAATTTTTTTCAAAATTAGTTTAAAAACTGTCACCATAATTTTTATGAAAACAATAGTTCTGCAAGGCTCAAAGCAAACTTGATACAAGTCAATTTTGAATTTTCTTATGTCATATAAAGTTTTCTGGTGAGCTGCATAAATTATGGGATTTGAGTGAGATCTAGTCTGGATCTATATCTGTTTATAGCATTGATGAATATTCATGATTAACGAATGCATGCAAACAGCTCAAAATATGATGCTGGCATTCCTTAAAATCAGTGAAAACTATATTCCAAGATCTTTGGATAAAACTGGAAAGAAATGAGCAAAATTCACAAGTGCATATTGATTATTTATTGTCTAAAAGCTTGTACATAAATTAATTGACATAATTTGGTGTAGGTCACATTACACATTAGAAATCTTGACTGATATATGGTTCAGAGAGATCTCATTTTGACAGCTATCATGCTCAAATTATGTATAGTTATGTTTACTTGATAAAGTGTTTATCTCAGGAAAATAACAAGATTCCATTCATTTTGTGCAAACAAAGGGTAATTAAGTATTTGAAGATAACCACTGAAAAATGGGATGCAAATTTTGTGGCATGTGCATATTGGAATGCATGGACAAAAAGTTAACATGACCACTGATGTAATAAGTTTCATTTTTGTGGTCACCATTACAAAACATATTTCTCACATAGTTTTTATGTTTTAAGCCTACTCAATAGGTTTTGTAAATTGGCATTAGAATTAAGGTGGTGTTAGGGTTAGGCATCCTGACTTTATCCAATAGTAATTAAATATTGATTGTTTTCTATTCTTTCAGCTGTTTGAGCTCTTGAGCTTTGTGGCAGAAAGTTTCATTTTCACGTACATTGGTGTATCTATGTTTACCTTTACTAAACATCTGTGGGATGTTGGCTTTATTATTGTGGCTTTTGTATCCTTTGGTGATGTATTATTGATAAGAAATCAAAGTTCCTTACTGAGATCAAAGTTAAATTATAACCATTTATATATTCAAGGTTAGAATGTGGTCAACATTAGTCAATACCACCTAATGGACAATTATAACATTTGTATTAGAACCTACATGGATTTTTACATTGGTGTAATAACTTGTTTTCACTTTTTTATGTAATAGATTAGTAGAAGATTTTAGTTGTTAATTGACAATCAGTATTTACTAATTCTGAGATAGTACCCAAATTTTGGGAATACAATAAACCCAGTACCAGTTTTTTCTCTTATTACTAGGTTAAGGTATAAAGGGTTTACTTCCCAATCCTTAAATAATTTTACCAACTCTTGTAAACATCTAGCAGAAAAAGAATTAAAGAGAATTTTATTGTGAAAAAAATGCTGTTTAGTTGTGCTACTTGAGTAACAATAATTAGTTGGATCTTTGAGTTATATTGGGGAACAGGTTACAAAATTTAAGTCTGAATGGTGGTTTTGGAACTTGGTTATAGGGCAGTTATAGATCATATTGTGAATATATAAAACAAAGTTGTCTCATGGATAATTGGTGGCTGACTGTATATGTTGTTGTTTCAAAAACCCACTCTAAAATCACATTTCTTCAATGTAAAATCTATTTCAAGTGCTATTTCAGTGAAACAGATTTTACATCGAAGAAACATGGTTTAAGAGTGGCTTTGTTAAATGGCATGAGGTGAAATTTAAAAGCAGTTGATGTAAGTGTGTTCCATTGTAGTATGAGCATCAGGCAGCATTTTATGTGACAAAAGAAAAGATGTACATGTAAAATGCTTTTACTGATCATTATAAATAAATAAATATTCATAGCATTACAAAATTTGGGAGGAGAATTGAATAATATTGTGGTTTTAAAATTTGATTTTCTTTATCTATTTTGAGGATGAAGAATGGAATAGTTTTATCAGTAGTTTGCAACTGTACTATAAATGTTCATACTGTTTTTCCAATAGGAATAAAGACAGTTATATTTTAATAATGGTTAATTTATTTAACCTTATGGAAATATGTTATTTATAAATGGTTATTCACATTTTATTTTAACAAGTTGTGTATGCTAATGAAATGGCAAGTCATTGCAGGTACATGCTGTGGACACTGACAGGCTCTGAAATCACATAGTAACCTAATTTGGAGCAATTCCTTCAACAACAGAGTGAAGGTTGTTGTTACAGAGGAAAACCATCCATCCCAAAAAAATCATTGTAATGAAGCTAAGCATATATTTTGGGTACTATTCACAATATAGAAGAAAAGACTCCCAAGACTTAAGTTTATAAGTTTCCACACACTTCTCCAAATCAAAGGTTATTTTCTTGAAAAGAATAAAAAATCCAAAGAAGCTAAAACCAGAGCAATCCCATTCAACCACATATCTGTCCATTCATCCAATCTATTTCTGGTATAAATTTTTGACTTTGATCTGTTTAAGCATGGCCTTGGAAGAGGAGGTCATGCACAGTGTCGGATCTATGGAAAGGCTATCAAGATGTGTGGTCTGAGTTTGACCTTGCTATTCATTTTGAAAAATATATTGTTAGGCAATAGTGCATATTTATAGCATTTGATTGAGCCTGGTCAGTGATAGAGGAAGTATTAGCTCATCAAGAAATTAATGTTGTGTTTTGGAACACTTTCATTACCCAAAAAAAACCCAAAAAACTTGCATCACGTAAAATAGTTAAACGAACTACCTAAACGTCGTGTTAGTGTAGCCTATATAATGTGTAAAGTTCAGTATACTCTTATCCCATATAGTGATGCCACACAACCAGATACACAATCTACATGTAATGCTGTTTGAATACAAGAAGGGAAACAATGCCTGTGTAGCCACAAAGAATATCAACGAAGTTTATGGAAATGTTTTGAACATTCATACATGTCAACGATGGTTCACCAAATTTCATTCAGGTGACTTTAGCCTTGAAAACTGTGATGGCAGGGGTGGACATGTTGGAATTGATAGTGATGCTCTGAAGACTCTTGTTGAGTCTAACCCAAGGCATCATACTCGAGAAATGGCCCTGAAATTGCATGTCTCTCATGAAATAATATG